GTATATATAGTTACTTGGTACCTGTCACTTGGCATATGCTGTATGCCAGTTTTGCTTTTGATTGATTTGGTCCCTTGGATTTGAGGTGAATCATGCCAGTCAAGGGTGGGCCTGATGGGGAAAGCCACATGTTGTGAGTCAGTTGGAAAGTTCCGTGTGCATGGTACTTAGAGAAGCTGATCCACTTGATGTTTCCCTAAATCCCAGGGTGGCCTTCTTGATTCTTCCCAAGCATAGGTCGTTTTGGATCTTTGGTATTGCAAACTTCCTTTTCAACCAATTTGGTTGACATTTGTTGAACAAGAACTCCTGAATCTTCACCTGTAACAAATTCCGCATGTCCCTCCGAACAGATCAACCCAACACACGCACAAACAATAGCGAAACAGTCCGCGAAAGAAACACCCGGTTTGACCCACGACTCGTGGCTCGTCTTCCCTCGTCTTCCGGCGACGGTGACGCTTTCGACGGTGCCCGGATTGCAGGTCTTTGACAACCGCCGGATCCTGCACGCCCGGTCTCAGATTTTGCCTACGGATGGCGAGCGATGGGTGCAAGGCGGGGCGGGGAGGATTCCAGATGAGCAGATGCGGGGAGGGGAGGGTTCGATGCAAGATGCAGATGTGTGAGAGATTTCGATCCCAGTCAGGTGAATCAGGACTTCAAGATCATTGCATTGGTCGTCTTGTTTTCACGCATCGCTTCACAAATTTCCGACTTGAAGATCACGACATGTGTGTGAATATCCCCCGGCCTTGGAACCCTCATCATTTCAACGGAGGAATGGTGGACTGGAACTGCCTTTCCTGACCCTTGGACGGGCAAAACCTCCCGCCCATGCCACCCGGAATAGGGCATTTTCTCCGAACTACCTGACAAACGGACCAAAACGGCGTTCATTCCGGTCGGTGTGTTTTGACCGCCTTTCGCGGTCCGGGCCGGTCCGCTTGGCCACGTACCGAGGCGCCTACATCGACCGGGCCGCTGGGACGGAGGGATGGCGCTGCAGGTGCACCTTTTTTGAGGGAACTGCGAACACTTACAAAAGCATACAAAAGCTAACTTCCAGATGAAAGAGAGCCGGGTTTCAGACGTTCAGAAGATGGTTTTCGTGGTGCAATGGGTCCGTCACGGTCCGAAATCCGAAATCCAAATGTACATTCCATTACATTCCTCTCACAGAACCCGAAACAACGGTGTTTGGACCCGAAATCCAGAGGTTTCCGGGGCACCCGTTCCCGGTAGGTTCCAGGTAGACGCTCCAGGTCAACGCTCATGAGAGAAGCGGTTTGAACGAGGGAAGATTTGAAGAACAAATCGAATGTGATCGATTGTGGACATGATGTTTCCTTCTGTCAGACAGGTATCAAGAGTACGTAGGATTACATATAAAATGATTACCTGTTAGTCCTCAGTAGTTGAAGGAAATCCCGTCACAAAAGCTTCCTGTTGGGGTTGTGTGCGATGGTGGATCTTGAACTGAAACAGCCTGAGGACGGCCTTTGGCTGGCCTTTGAGCGGTTGCGACGGCGGCAAGCGCAGCCGTTGGAGTAGATGTGTCTCTCTGAGGATCTCCGAGTTATCTGAAGAATGTGTCTCTTAGAATTGAGTTTCTATCTCAACCCTCTTCGGAACCCATTGGCGTTGAGATATGTTGAGATGCTTCGTTCTTGGATAATATTGACCTGTGGGCCTGTCAGGGCAGCTTGACGTACACAGTGCTTTACACATTATTTGCCTGTGAGAGGAGAGGAATCACAGGCGAGACTAACCCCCATGCCATGCAGGACCCTTAGAATAAGCCGTATAGATCACTTAGATTCGGTATCTAACTTGATTTGTCTTGGATGTTGTTTGTTTCTTCTTCTACTCTCCGGTTCCGACATCAGAGAGTTCAGGCATCTTGCCACAACATTGGCATCTCCGGCGGAAACAAACGCACATTGTTTGGCCTCCTCTGTATGAAGCAGATATGGTCCATCATTGGGTGTAAAAGCAAAATTAAGGAACAATATTATTGTGCTTTGACTCTAATGCGAAGGGGCAATAAGAGAAGGTTTGGAGAGATTCCAAAGGCACAGACACATCAGGCTTTGATTTGATATTATAATTCACACTCATCCCCAGCATGGTAACCAAAGACTGTGCTTGGGATGAGATTCTGGGCGTCACGCAATACCCTATTCCTGTGACATCCAGGTATATATACGTATGTTCAGGAGACGCTGTGGCAGCAACCGTTGAGGATGGGCTCACATGATTGGTTGTCGAGGAGTGCTCGGGGGTACCCAGAATCGATACGATTGAGGTCCATGCACCCAAGCGCACCCAAGTCTTCTATGTTGCCTGATGGCCAAAATAGCTTGTCACCGCCTGCTGTTGTCAAGGCCTGGAGCTTGAAACCCTCTTCACTATGGACTATGACTATGGGTTTGTATCACCTCAACAATATGACGCTGCACTGCTAAAGCAAGCCAATGACCAGCTTCTTTCAGATTACTATCACTGAGCAATGCTGAGCATGTGGTAAGGATCAAGGACAGAAGTAAGGGATCTTCCACGGTTTCTGCTTTGCACTTTTGTGCCGATACCACGACCGCAAGTACCTCACTATGTTTCACCCTATTCTGATGGGAAGGAGCCACAAACCTCTTCTTCACAGGTGCACGTTCAAGGCTTCAATGAACTGTGTTTGTTTTGCCAGACGACGCCGAACGACTGCCACGGTGCTGCTCTCATTTTTGGCTTTGACTGTAGTTCTGGCCGGCGTAGCCAGACGTTGGCCGTCGGACGTCTGGCGACCGTGTGATTGCGGATGTCTCAGAGGCTGAGGAGACGAGAGCGCGAGTGAGGGTGAACACAGAGCTGCGGAGAGCAATCAAAACGAGTTGGGCACCGTCCCCCAAGTCTGTGACAACCCCCGTCTTCCCAGCGCGGTCAATCGCCGGCGCGATGGTCTCGTCCGTTTGAATTCAGCTGGGAAAAGCCCAGCGGACTGCCTTGAGGGATGGCCAAGGGCAACGAGTGCAGATGCCACTAAGTCACCGGTGAACATGACGATGTGGTCAACCAAGTTGCTCAGGGTTCTGGACGAACCACTCGTTGCACATTCACTTGGAGCAACCTGGAGCAACTGCTGTCAATGGGGGCAGTTTGGGACATATGCAGCAATGGAAATAGTATATTCTGTAAAGCATCGTCAGCATACTTGTTTGTTTTGCAATAATCATCGGTGACTTATTTTTTCCACTGGCAATTTGCAACGTGCTGAGAGTTGAGTATGGGTCAGAAGCAAATCGAGTCAACACAGGAACATAGTTACGTTCGAAGCACCGACGAGGGGACACCCTTCGCTCGAGCACGCAGCGATGCAGAGGTATCGCGTTGCGACGCTTACATCTTGAGAATCAGCTTGAGTTGATCCAAGCTGTCATTGACTGATGACAACAGCCGCTCTTCTGGACACATTTGCTGCCATTTCAGCCTCAAGAGTTTATGTCACGCAACATGACTGCCCAAGTCCGTCCAAGTCCGTATCCTGAAGCTTTCACAAAGTGTTTTGACAGGGTTGCTGGATTGTTGAAACATCACCAACTAATAATTTGACGCTAGTCCTCGTTGTTTCTTTAAATTCAACAGGTACAGTGATAGTGTGATTCAAAGGGCTTTAATTTGCCACATGGATCAATTTTTGATACTGGATAGTTACGGTAGATGATGCATATGTCATACCGGTTTTTCATGACGTTGGAGGGTTGAGTCGCTTGAACCGTGAAACAGAACCGAAGATGCTAGGCCAACATAGGCCAACAGTATCCAACAGGGTACCAACCCTGTTGACAATTTAAACAGTATTTGCACTGGGGCAGTATTTGGAAATCCTGTCCAACAAGGGATCAACCCTTCAGCTTGTGGTCCTGGGAGCAATGGGTTCTTGGCGGCCACCGCGTGGTCCGCTCTGGTGATTGCACCTTTTTTTTGTTCTTTTCGGACGTGCGGAGAACGGGAAGCACCGGGGACATCACTTTTGCACCCTTTGCCGGATTCAAGTGCTCCCCGAAAAGTCCGCCCTGGTGATTGAAATGATATAGAAAACCATTCGATATTCTGGAGGAAGTTCTCAGTGGACATGTTGGGTGGTGTCTTGGGCTCGTCCGTCGGTGGGATTCGTCGCGACGGGACCCGGCTTCCACGGCGTCAAGGGTTGGTTGATCCAACGGAGGTTGAAGAACCCTATAGACTCATAGACTATCCCATATGCCCCAGGTGACGGGTCCTTATAAGGTCACTTAGCCTTTGTTGGATGGTCCATTGTTTGTTTTCAATAGTTTGTCGATCGTTTTGAACGGTGTTTGAAGCAAAAGGACAGGCACCAATTGATCTATTCATACTTCATCACAGCACGGTCCATGTGACCAGTTGAAGATATAATGATGAAGATCTTTTCTGGGATGATACAGGGGGATGATTTCTGGGTCATGGAGGTCATTACATATCATCACATGATTTGTGTATACATATACAACATCAACCATCCTGAAGTAGAGAATATGAACCAATCCGAGAATCTGATGTGTCCTTAGCTTTTTGATGCACATTTAATTTCCCCACATATTCCATCTATCTTCCATCGAACTACGCTCATGAGTTCTATTTGTGTCAGAAACACGGCCGAACTGGTGTTGACTCCAGTCTTCGCCAGGTCGGCGGGCCAGCGCCAGTGGACCCAATGGACGGACCCGTGGGTCGCGTCTCCAGGAAGGTCGGATCCGATTCGGAAGATGGAATTGGAGTGACACCCCCGCCTGATCGGCCGATCTGTTTTCACCCCCGCCTGATCGGCCGATGGGTTTTTTGAAAAGACTACGACTCCAGCGACTCCTCCGCTGCAAGGGTGGAGATCTTCGGAATTTCCTACAGATGCCCATGGGCCAAAACCGGGAGACCCTGGAAAATGATCAGAATCGGCTTAATTAAGGAGATACCAGGGTCGTAAGGCTCCCGGATTTGACCCACAGTCAAACACTTCGTCTCGCAGACGCAATCCTCTAGAAGTTCCCAGAAACCACTCTTGCAACTGCCTGATGGACTCGCGGCCGGCTCAAGCATTTTTAAGGGTGAGTTACCGCACTCACTTGGTATCGGGCACACATTGGTCCTGCGGGCGCGGACCAGACCATGAACTACCCATTCTTGCGCGTACTCTGCATGATTTTCCCCTTGGTGGGCTCAGAGTCGTGCTTTGACGACGGAGTACCTGAAGAGGAGTTCCTCGGCGGAAGAGTCCGAGTCCCGGTCCAATGCAATTCACGCGGAAGAAGCGTTGCCATGCAGCATCGAAAAGCATGGAACATATGACCATTCTAAACCCAAATGGTTCCACAAGGAAAGAACGGATGATTTCAGGATCTTTCTTTTCAGACCTTCTAAATACGGGGAGCTTTCATTGCCCAACCACGTGGTATAAGCACTGCCAACTACAGTGAAGATGCTTGACAGATGAAGCCTGCGGAGGGTGGTGCTGTTCGGGGCGCGCTTGCGCATCTCTAAGAGAAGTGAGCAGGTTAGAAGTTAGAAGGACAGATTAATTAATGATTAAATATTCCCTCAATTGTTTTGAATCAATCACTGGACACCAAGACACCGTCCAGCACATGCGCGAGTCGGCTGTCGCCGCTAAAAACGATGGTCGGTCTAATTCCCAGAATATCACTCCGTTCAAGCTGCTAACAGTAGACATTTGGTGGAAGAGCCGAATCTATAATGCTTTCCAGAGTTTGAATTACTTTGAGTTCACAGTGTCCCAGCTGCCTGGCCAGCTGCCTGCTTTGCTGGCTCTCCCAACGAATTCTCAGCCCGGCTGAGGCGCAAGTTGCTCGTGAATGGGAAGGAGACACGAGCAGATCTTGAGCACAAGCTAACATGGAACCTGAAAATATCTCAAACTGTTCACATTGGAACATACTGGAAGATGTATACAATTACTACATATTACATATTTTGTTGTCTATATCGTCTATATCTATTCAATACCTTAGATGTGTTGTTTCCAAATTTAAAAGAGCCAGCCAGGGAGTCATGTTTACTTTGTTCCTGGTGATCTTGCTCTTGCTAGCACTCGCCTTTTCTTCGATCATGCCTTTGGGCAGACCAAAACCAGCCGGCCAGCTTTTCAGCTTGTGCGCTGCTCAACTCCCAAGACCCGCAGCAGGAAAAATACCCCTTGGGCTTTTGGGTGAATGATTGGTCTGCCGGCCATGCGACGGTACAGATGATGCGAATCCTCGTCGAGGAGAGGGGACGACCAAGCGCATTTCGACGAAGCACGGGGTGGCCGTTAACCCAACAAGAACCTTGAAACCCCGTGGTTTGGCAACGACACCAGTCGATTATAACTTCCCTTTCGGTGTTACTGGACTTTGCGGGTTGGTCGCTTTGGAAAGAAGAAAGGAAGGTTAGGTGTTGGGGCCCAACGAAACACTCACATTCCCTGCGCAAAGCAAACATCAGGAAGCTTACTCCGTCCTTATGAAAGCACTGTTTCTGCGTTTCTGAAAGAGTCCTGACCTGAGCAATATTGACGCCATAAACTATACAGACCACCCGACAACCACAATGTGCTTTTGTCCGAGGAGGCCTGTTCAGATACCGATGATGTAATGTAATGCAAAAAATTGGTTCAAAGCTTTTAAAGGGGTACTCTTGCTTTCACAATAGTATAACGGTGCAATTATATAGAAACTATACCTATACTTTGCAGATTCCTGGAATGAATGTGTTTTCATTCCACGTTTTTGGCGAAATGATGCACAAAGGCAATGATGCAAGCTCCTTTAGAGGACGTTTCAATCAGTCCAAACAATCGGTCCACAAAAGGGATGATAGCTCGAATGCTGGAATCTACAACCGCTATCCCGAATCAGCAACAAACCTGCCCAAGCCTGGTCTCGGAATTCCTTTTCTCTTCTGGTGCAAAAGCACACATAACTATAAATGCCCGATCAATTACACATAACTATCATTACTAGTGTATACAGTAATTATACCGCACAGTGAATTTGCGCAGCCCTGATTTATAGGATAAAAGCAACATCACCTCCACTTGTTCATGAAAGAGTCTTCGGCGCCCTTCATGTTTGCTATACAAAGTTTCCCAACACCGGGTTGGTGTCGTACCCCGTCGACGACGTGGACCATGTCGTCAGGTACGGAGAGGTGAGTGATCATGAGTTGCAGGGACTCAGGATGTGTTGAGCAAAGTCATCATGTTTTGGTCCGAGACCTACGCCCTGCATAATTATGTGTTCAAAGGATATATATATATCTATATATCTGTGTGTGTGGGCCTGGGCCTAACTCTTTGGCAGTTGCGACTGATGTTTGGCCAGGAGAAGATGGGCTTCAAGGTGGAAGAGAAAGGCCCAGGACCCTCCACTCCAGACGCCTTCTATGCCATTGCAGGGTGCAAAACTCCCACGAATCCCAATGACCGTGGTTGTCGAGAGCAGACCACCACGTATGCTCCTCACATGCAATTGAAAATCAGTCGCACAACGTTCAGATGGAAGGCTCAACTCTATGGTTCAACACTGACTCATTCGTATAAAATTTATCCATTTCCAGCACGGTTAGACTCTTCACAGAGGAGAATTTAGTTCAATCCTGAAAGACTGGTCAAACGGTCCAGTGTGTCCCAACTTCAGCTCCACCGAAGTACCCAGTTTGCCCTGTTCGGGCCACCGAAAGCAGCCAGCCAAGACCAAAACGCAGAGCCCCTTCAGCGACCTTTTCGGGAGCGTGAACACGGAACCCATTCGTGAACAACATGTTCCACAAAACCGTCGGCAGGCTCTTGGGAGTTGAACACCCTTGGAGAGTTTGAACACCCTGGTGGCTGCACCATCAACTCACTCTAAGCCATACACAACAGGCCTTTTAAATTGGATCGAACATGAAATCGTTGGACCGTGGACCTCAATTCCCATGGAGGTCTGAGTTCAGAGAAACTGGTGAAAAAAAAAACAGGTAACAAAAACACATCCCTGTCCCGCTCTTTCGGCTTCCGAGGTGCATCTCTCCATGGAGGGTTGGACTGCAGGAGCGGCTCCGGAAGCACCGGGCGTTTCGTCGCGGGCCGAGCCCCGGAAGGCGTAAGTCCGCACCCGACCAGTCTGCCCGGTCACAGTGGTCCCCTGGGTCGGACGAGCAGTCTGAGTAGACTGCATCCATCCACCGTATGGCATCCGTGTTTGAGATGTTTGAGAAGAAATTAATGGCACCGTGTTTGGTTGTGTGGGTTCAAGACATGACACGTGTTTTTTTTTTTTTTAAATCAGTTCAAACAGCAACTTGGATGCAAATGTGTGCAGAATTCTGCTATTGTTTGGCTGTCGTGGGAGACTACCAGGTTTCTACATGTTTCTACAAAGAGTTTGTTGCTTCAGTTGCTTGTTGTTCCTGCTAGGCTATGTCCTCCTGCATGTATTTTGTTGTTTGGTTGCATCCTGAGTGTGTTGAAGGCCCATTTGATGATTTCATTACGGTGAGCGTGTTGTTCTCAGAGCAATGGTGGTTTTGGTCGTGTGCCGATGGAGCACTGGAGCCACGTTTTGCACCTCTCCCTGACCTAGAGCAATAGGTGAGTTCAGGTGCATGCAGGTTCTCATCAACGGCATTAGCTTCTGTTTCAATCTTGAAACTTTGAGTTCGTCCCTGTGAAACAGTAATTCCCAAAGGATGCCACGAATCAATCCGAAAATTACCTGTATATAATCAACAAAAACCATAGCATGGATCTAGGTCCTGTCTAGATTTTATTTGTTTCATGTACAGATGTCCTGTGGATGCAAGTTGGGACCACACTTCCTCGAAGTGTTGGGACTAAGTCTAAGCCTCGCTTCTTCCGGGAGATGAATTTACTAATTTAATTAACTTACTAATCAAGATGCAGCTGTTCTGGTCTCAGTAGGCTCATTGGTCCAAACTGGGTAACGTGATGGAACACCAAGTAGGACATTTCACCCGAGCATTTCTCCTGCTCCCGTAAATGAAACCCTCCAATTGACAACCCCTCAAGTTCAGGGATTTCCCAACCGGGCGATAGAAGGGAGGAGATTTGTATGAGGGGTAAGGGGCTAGAAACCAGGTGAAGTGTGAATAGAGCCCTTGCGTCTCACTGTTTTAAAGTTAATTCCACAATTGCTTTAAAACATGAGCAACCTGGACTACCCGATAAAACAAAAAGTCCGGTGCGATATTTCAAAGTGCAGGAAAACGTGCCATGCTAAAAATGATATTTAGGAATACATGACATATATGCTATGATGGGGCGTCGCCGGAGAGGTAGACGTTGGCCACAAATAGACATTACAGTAATATTCTCAGGTTTCTGCCGAGGATATGGCTTCAAAAAAACAGCCTGGTCAAGCTGAAGAGTTTGGCTTCGGTGTTCAAAATCCTGCACATGTCCAGTCCGCAAGTTTCCGCCATATGTCCGATTGTTTGTCAATGTTTGCAAGTTGCAGCGCATCCAAGAGTGATCCCTTCATTAAACAGTTGAACTGGAGAGTGTGCTGTGCAAGGGTTTAATCAATTCTGCACCCGCTTGTGTCCTGTTGCACTAGACACGGGTCAAGTCTTCCAAAGCGCACACACAATGACACATGTGTCACATGTGCTATTTTGGGGGCATGACAGCTCCAAAAGGCATGTTTATCGACCTATGGCACTTTGTTTGCATACAAAGGTTGCTCCAGGAAGTACAGTAATCATCATAATACGAAAGGATAACATGATATGTTCATTCATTCCCTCGGCTGTCGTTTGCTGTTTGAGGGTGCATCAGAACCATGGCCCCAAACTCGAACACGTACAAGTCCTCATACAGAGAGAGAGGGAGAGAGATAGAGAGAGCAACAATGATAACCTTTAGCTTTTGACCACCTATCCACCATTTTGTTCCATTGTAGAAAGCAATTGGAGATGTCCCGCATGGTCAAAACCCCGAAAATATCGGGACAAGAGATGTTGCAGGTTGCCAGGCCATCGCTATTAGGTTGGAGGCCATCGCAACCAGAGGCCATTGCTATTCGACAGGTCGCCAGGTCGATGTTCTACGTCACAAACGGACCCACAGTGGATGCTCTTCGCTAATGACCGGATGGATGGTATAGGTGTTTTTCGACTTCTGTGCATCAAAGTACTGTAGGTTTATTAAACATTTCATGGTGTTTCTTTCTTTGTGGAAGGCTCACTTCTCTCAACTCGCAGGATACAGTGGCGCTTGGAACGAGCTGCAGAGCAACTTCCCTTCGATGGCCCCCAGGCAGCTTGTTGACAATTTCAATCCAGATTGAGAGCACACTGAGCTCCACAGTTAGTTGAAAGCAAATTAAATTCTTTTGAAGGAATTCTTTTGTGGCTCATAGTCATAGTGCAAGAACCTCCACATACCTCTACCAATCTTTTTGGACAATGGATATTTTCTTGTGGGAAATCAGATGTTGTCTCACACAACACTCCATCTTCACGTAGTGAAGAACCCGGACATTTGCAGATTTCGGGCAGCTCGGACAGGGATTGACCTTCCAAATCCGAAACAGTAGGGACTGAGCCTCAAATGGCGACCGATAGGTTTGACCGAAGCGGGACTTAGTGATGTGATCCGATGGAAATGGTCTGATCTTGAGCGCTGCTGAAGTTGGATGTTGTTGGTATTTACAGCTAAACTAGGTGACCTAGGTGGCAGTTTAAGCCGTTTTGGTGTTTTACTGATGAAGTTGTGTGTTGTTTCCTCCTTTCTCGTGGTGAAGTAGGTTCTGATTTCGTTGATGCAGGTTCTTACCAGTCGCAAAGTTGTATATTATTCACACGGTATACGGTTTTCCTGCCGGTGAAGTGCTATGTGTCTAGTGCCGGTGACCGGTCGGTTCTTAACGGCAGTTGTTGGCACCTGGTGGGTGATTCGGTGAGTAATGCAGATCGCACCTGCTTAGCTTCAGCTTATTCAATTGGTGTTTTGGCAGAGTGTTCTTATTTTTTTTCGGGGGAGTGACATCGATAACCTGTATGTGATGAAGTCAAATCAAGGACCTGCCTGTCCTTAAAATGTCATTAAGTGATATTATGTGACCTGTTAACCTTAGCAGATGATTAATCTGTAAATATTAACTTTGTGCATGTTGCGCTGTTATTTGTGAAGCTATGAAGACCAGATTCTCAAGTGAAACAAGTGTCTGGGTCATGTCAAGCTTGGTTTTGGTACCAATCGTGCAAAGTCCTTTGCATGAAGGGAGCGGTTCTCATCATCCAATGGTTCTTACCGTCAAGGCCTTGGCCTTGGCTCAAGTCCGACCCAGAAACATCGAATCGATCTCCGATTGGTGAATGGCTGCGTGAAAACACCATGCCAGTCGAGTCGGATCCTTCGTTTTCTCTCGTGGATGACGGTGAGGGGGTCCTGCTGTAGGGATACAAGAATGGATAGTTGGTCGATGTTTCCCTCTCCAGGCCATGCTTATAGGAGAGTCGGCTGTAGTCGTATGTCGGAGTAGGGTAGTCTTTCAGTTGTTACTGTACATGAACAACAAATTCAAAAGATTCTCCAAGATCCAACATGCTGTGCCAAATGGTGCTGCTTGGAACGTGCCAAGGAACGTGGGAAATTCCGGATACTTTGGCGCTGCTTCGATCTACATTGGTGTCGATGTTCAGGAGCTGAATCTGTGAGAAGAGCTGTGGAGAGAGTATCTATGAATCATTTAATTAGTAATTTATATACATACAATTACTGGTCTCCTGATAGAAGTATTTGAAATCTAGTCTAGTGTGATGAGCCGGATTAATGCATCCAACTCAGCCTAATTATGCATGTCCGACAGCTGCTTGAAAGCCCAAGCCCCAAGAATGGCATTAAATGGCATTCCCACCCATGAGGTGTGCATTGTGCTTTCCTGCACAGCGCAGGAGAGAGCCTATGAGCAGGAGGGTTTGTCCTTGGATTTCTACCGAGTTTCTCAGCTGAGACTGAGAAATTCCCGATGCCGAGTTCCTTTGACCAGTCAATGCGTGTGGAAACTGCCCATGTCTCGTCCCTTTGTCGGATCCGAGTGTTCTTGTTTGCCAAGGGAGGTTGTTTCGGTGGTGTGCGAGTGTTCTTGTTTGCGCGTGTGTGTTCAATACATGTATCTAAAATATAGTTGACCAATGCAGGATTGTGATTGCACATTCCTGCAAGTTGTTGATTTGCATGGCACAGCGATTTCCAGGTGTGATGCAATGTTTCTTTGTGTTTGCAAAGGTCATGCACGATGCATGCATGTTGATTCTGACTTCAAACTATATTGTAAGACATGCAAGAACCAACCTATAAATATATACTGTAGTATAATCGAAAGCCTTGTTTTGAAGACTATGGCTTGCAGATTTATGGAGTGACTGCCTTTTTGGGGGATTTGTACGTAGACTCCACCACAGTCAGCAGCAAACCGCCACAACCATACAACAACCAAGCAGAAGCAACACACAACTGCAAAACAACAAACTCCTGGTCGGTCCTAGTCTTGGTAAAACAACACAAGCTCGCTTTTACCTCCCCTTTTCTCTCTCTCCGAGGACTACAACGTTTCTTGGAAGGCTCCAGCCAAGTACTTTGCATCGCCCAATGATGTGGACACCACCAGGTTAAGGGCATGCAACGAAACTGGCCTGCACGGGGACATTTTCTTTTTTCCTGTGCTGGATGGGTGTTCACACCGATGAACAGTGACAGATACACTCAGGGCCGTCCTAGCCTTCAAGCATGTGCATCGCATGCTTTTGGTGAGTCACCTCAAAGCTGCAGATGAGAGGTCAGGTGAGTCCTTTGATGAATGGGTATACCGGCGGATACCCATTCATTGAAGGACTCGCCGGTATGCCGGGATACCTCTAAAGAGTTTGAGATATCCCCAGCTGAGCCTTCTACGTTATGAAGGGATTGGACATCAGTTTGGTTGAGTTGTGATCTTCCAAACACACTCGGCTAGACAGCTACCCAAGAGAAGGCACGAACAAGTGGATCGTTTTCCAAAGTCCAAGACACCAGGTTAATAGCGATGGCCTCCACCCTAGTAGCAATGGCCTCCAACTTAATAATAAAGGTTTGCAATTGTAGCTCACTTTGGAGTTCCTTATTGGTTGAATGTCGATCCTTTGTACTTGTCTCGACCAGAGGTCTTTTGGACTTTAGGGACCATCAAAAGGGCATGGAATCGAGATGAATCGAGTGTTTTTTTTGCTTAGCAAGCATGGTCACAGTTTTGTTTTGAGGTCACATGAATCGAGTGAATCATGCCAAAATCAGCTCAGTTGATGTCGCTTTTGAACTTGGCGACATTCGAGGACACCAACCTCGTTGATTCGGCACAAATGCAATTATATGCGACGATCACCGGAGACACCGATGGTATCGTGAATCAAGGCCACTCGTGGGAAACGTGTTTTGGAGGAGGCAACTTATACATATACATGCACACTGTCTTGCAAGCAACAGTCATGTTATGGTGTTTTATTTTGCTATATATTATGTAACCAACTATAAGTATAATCATGTATAGCCATTTCGGGAGCAAAACAAACAAAAACCAACACGATGACACACGGATTGACCGACACTGTGTGTGTGTGTTGGGGTTCTCTTGTCCTTGCCACACTCGGTTTGCATCTATTGTGTATTATTACTTAGTACTAGTATGTACATGAGTTGTTTCTTCGACATGCGTTTTGTTTGACTGCTTTACTGAATATGTATCCGAATCCATGTAGAGTACTGCAATTCAGCCTGTCATTGCTTCACCAGGACTTTCCCAGCATGTGTGCTTGGTCGTAACAACTCTCAGAGTTTCTCTCTGTTGAAAGACCTAAGGTTCTGACATGATCCACACTCACCATCAACACACAGAGTCACAGGGCTAATGACCACCTGCACAGCATCATTGCAAGGAGATGAAGTGCATGGCAAGTGTTGCGCTGGATATTTCTGGTGCTCGCCAGCGTGCCGCCACAACAGCAGCCAGTGCCACTTGGACAGAGTCTTTTGCATGGTTCAACAGTTCAACAGCTCTTCGATGTTTTCGAATCGCTTTTGAATCGTTTGAATGACCCTGAACCACTGTCCACTGTAGTTGCAGGTTCAGATGTGCCATGTTCCGACCGCGTTGAAAGCTAGTTCAAACATGTTAAAACTAGAAATGCCCAGAATGCCCAAGCAGACACAGTGCACGTTTGGCCCTCCAAATACATGCCAACCCCAGCTTAAGGGAGAGTTGCATTTCGGCAGCCGACCCTGATCTGCCATAAAACTGCGCATAAAATAGATCCTCTCCAGCTGGAAGTCCACTGCTTCTCGATCCATTCTGCACGTCTCTTCGGCCGAACGCGGTCACCTCGAGTGCCACCCGCGGAGAAGAAGACTGAGGTGTATCGAAGGGGACCAACAGCCGAGCCAAATCCCAGGTTGACACCCAGAAACTCCAATCAGTTGGGGTGGTTCGTGGGGCTCCATTCGATATATGGGGTCAATATGGGGTATATATATATATACACCCATCAGTATAGGACTGCCATATTTGCCAATCAGGCCAGGGGTGGTCAGTTACGGGGTCAACGGGGCGGCATATATATTCCACACAAAGGTCGTGTTATGGGGTCCTCTGCTGTCGACATTCAGAGCAGTTCTTGTTGGACGATCGTCTGGAGATCGTTAGAGTTTGGACAACGAACGACGCACCCTTGGATTCTCCAGTCAGTGTGTCGTCTCGTCGTTGTCGGTGTGGTTGTTGTTGTTGTTGCTGCTGCTGGAACGGCAGTTCTTGCTTGTACAGTGTTTGTTTTGACAATGTCTGCAGATTTTGCAAATCAGAATGCCAAGCCCCGAACCGTTTGATTCCCCAGCAAAATGCCCGGTGTGTTTGGGCTTTTTACACGCGTCCCACGAGTCCTCGCACGAGTCCGACAAGTCCTCAGCGCTGTCCGAGGCCTTTTGTACTTCACGGGCGGCCTTGGTTGGTCGATGTCTGAGCAAATGCAGAAGGCGGGTTGGTCGATGTCGGAGAAGTACGAGAGAAAGCTGGTGTCTCAGGTCTGAAAGCACCAGGTCTGGAACATGGAACAGGCACAGCTCTTGGTATAGACCCTTAGTCCCTTCGACTATCTTGGACTTAATCAGTTGACCAGTGTCCAAAGTTAGATCTTAGAGTCTTAGAGAGACGACCCAATCAGTGGCGACCAGTGACGACCCTCTTCAAAACGCTGACGCCATGGGCGTCGCTGCGACCTTGTCGTGAGAGATCTGATGGGAAGACTCTTCACCCGTCATACTGATGCGATGGACGGGGCGAAGAGTTGGCAAAGACCAGAATGGAAGACGGTTGTAATGGGGTGTACAAGGTCAATGGTAGAAAGACGAAAAAAACACCACGGTGAAGGGTATTGCCAGTATAGCTGTTCATTGATTGTGTTTTGTATGTTGGGTTTCATAATGTGTTTTCTCAGCATAATGAAGGGTAGGTTGCCGACGCAGCTAGTCAAGTCCAATATTTGATTACAGTATCGAGTGTGCTCAGATCTGGAGGAGAGAAACATGTTGAACCATTGATGCTGATTGGGGTATGAATCATGAAGGATGAACGACTTAGTCTCCGCAAGTGCAACCCTTCAAAAGTGCCCCCCTCAGAAAACAAGGGCCCTGGGCCCATGGACACATACAGTAGTAGTTTCATTATGTTTTATGTGTATGCAATTTGTTATTGTATGTTTGTTTTTAACCATCAAACCCATAAACCTCATGGATGCGTCGAGCAACCTCGTTGCTCGTGTCAGCCAGGCGACGATCTTCAATATGCCGTTGGCAGTGGCTGTCGCCGCATCTTGGAACGAGTTTGTCTCTTTGCCCATGGATTATACGAGTACCTTCTATTGGTGGCAGCCGGACCCCACATTCCTGAGGCCAGTCTGAGAGGTTTGGGTGGGCAAGTGAACATGATAGAGTCTCAAAGAAAATAGCAGACTTGTTGGGTGGTGGGGAAAGGCCACAGCAAGTTATTGCTATTAATTATGTTTGAAGGCCTGCGTTGTCATCGTCATCGTCATCATTAAGTCCATGTTGTTCTCGTCGCTCTCATTTCCTTTTTCATTGCTAGCCGTGTAGACTTCAGACTCTAGACGCTGTGTGTTGGTTCATGGGTTGCTGTGACATGTAGGTGTTCCACGCTTTCACCCGAAAGGAGGTCGTAAACCTTCACAAAGGCCCTGCAGCAACCACCGCTGCACGCCTCCAAGTGATAGGTGAGGGCAACACTGCCGTAAAAAAAGAGTACAGTCAGTCTTGGCAAGCTTGGTCTGTTTCGTTTTCTAGCTACGAGACGGAAACCATATTTTCTTTGTTTCCACATTATAGTGGAAACCAATCCCCCAAACAAGGCTTGACATAGGGAAAAGGTTTTCAGTTGAGGGCTAGGACATCATTGATGCAACTACCCTTGGAAAGGCCCGAAAAATGGGTCAAATCAAGGACGAAGCAAACAAGATGAAGTGGGAGCGGAACAAAATGGCTAGTGCAAAAATGCCCAGCAGGACAGGCGAGCAAAGGCAACGATGGTCTTGATGCAGTATGCAGCCTCTACTTCCGACTGAGGGCCAGCGTCAATAGGTAATGAGACTAAATGACTAAATGCCTTGCTGCTGCTGCTGCTGCTGCTGACCTTTTACCCTGCGGGAGATCCACGCGTCCCAGAACCCTGCCTGCACGGGAGCACAGAAGGTAGGACACTTGCCCTTAGACAAGCAACCTCTATACCGAGGCTCCACAGCGGGAGCTCTTGGATGGGCCTGGCCAAACGTACGGAGTGAGGGGGAAGGTCGAGGCCTAGCTTCTGACACAGTGGCAGGTCTGCAAGACCCAAAGTTGAAGGGACACCTACAACTTACCTTAAATACATTTGTTCAAGACATGGCGTGTCTAAATCGAGCTCTACTCACTGTCACACCCGTTTCGGTGACGGAGTTTTTGTTGCTCATAGCCTGCCATGGCTATAGAAGGCTCAGGACTGGAACTCTCTCTTGTCAGGAACTCGCATAGTTTCATGAAGTCTCCAAACCAAACCGGCGATCGCTTTTCAAGAGAGCTGCCTATAGACGCGTTTGTTCCACTTCTGTCCATGTTCCCACCGTGGAGGCGGAGGAACTCTTTGGGAAACATGGTTCCGAGGGCTATATATATATAAGCGGCCTTTATCTTCATCCAGGGAAACTGAGGCGGTCAGCCAAGCAAGAGGCTTTTGTGGCTGTACTGATAAAAGTTGACGTTTTGACACAATTTTCTCTAGTTAAACCCAGGTTGTTGCAGGAGGAAGGTTGGCAGATCTGCACTCGCTCACATGAACAAAATAAACATTTGCACTTGAAACTTGAGCCTTTGAACTTTCGGATTTAGGATTATTTTGGAAAATCAATGCATTTGCGTTTCCTTGGAATGCTTTGGCAACAGCCACGGGTGTTGTTGCGCGATGCTGCACAGGAAGCAACCCAAGAAGATCATCTTCCCACCTCATGATCCGCTCGGTTGGGCCAGAGGAGATCGTAGATCCAGTGTGGAGACCTTTTCGATCGACAAATACACAAGCCAGGACAGTTACTCTACTGTGGTCAATCACGTGTCCTGCTCATATGTACACAAGTGCATTGACAATTACTTGCCATCCTGCCTGTTGGAACTTTTGGAACATGCCTGTGAGGCGTAGTTTCTTGAAACAGGGTTTTGTGCTGTTCCATGCTGGTCAGGGGCATTGGTGCGTTCATATCAAACTAGCTGAAATTAACGTATGTAGGGTGGTGTTTTGATGGCCATTCATGCTTTTGGGTGTTCATATTATTGTATAATGTTCAAATGCAGGTTGTTTGATTGTTCACTTTCCGTAAGGGTGGGAAGCGGTTATGATTGGTTATCATATGTTATGCATCGATTATATTCTGGGTTCAATTCCTTCCTTGCCGGAAAAAAAAGCAATTGTCGTAAATTTGTTCATGCACGAGACCAGGACCTGAATTCATTGGCCCCTGAAGTAGAAGAGTTCATGAAGGCTGTGAGCATCAGTATCACCGACGTGGACGAGGTGATGTTGGTTGTGCTGATGAACATATTTTCTGCATTTCCCTATGCGGTGAACCCCTGTTTTAGGGCATCTATAGAAAAAAGCATGATTATATAATATGAGTTTTATCATAATGTTTTACTTATTTTTCAATGTTTTAGATCAGAACATCTATATAAGGTAATGTTGGATCAGCTGCGTCCCAATTCCACTTACTTCGATGCAGCTTGCCGCTGGCTGAAACGTAATGAAGAACGCTGGCAGTCATGGCTGCCGGACCCGACGAAGTGCTTTGCGCATTTTGGTATGTACAACACGACACTTGACCCGACGAAGGCGGCCTCAGGGCTCCACAAATCTCCCACTGTTCCAAGAACTCGATCGAGATAGACTACGCAACCAGAAGCACACTTGGAATAGAAGCGGACATAGGGTCAAATGTTTGATACAGGCAATGCCATGGAGAGGAAGAACATCTACTATACATGAATCACGAATAATCACGATATTGCATGAAATTCGGGGAAGAAACCCAATCACCATTGAAATTAATCTTCAGATTTACATCGATTTACACAGATGTCACAGACCCATTGGTTTGGTCAAACCTTCCCTAATCGGATTCACGTCGCTTCACGTGTTCCGACTCTCCGTCCCGAGCCTATCTGAGGAACAGCGGGCAATTCGTGGAGAGCCGCATCGATCCAACGTACGTGGAATGCCAACCATGCCCCTCCGGTTTCTTCTCTTTGCCAATATCCGACGACAAGGGCCACACATACATTTGCCCCTTGCCGATGCCAGTTTGGAGTAGTGGGTAATCGTCCAAGAGTGAACAAATGTCATTTCAGTACTGGTTCCAGACACGGAATCTAGCATATCCATCTCAGCTATAATTCTATGCGTCATTTGCTAGTCTAATCCTTTTCGCTCAGGCCGAGCGTGTCCTGCTGGGAGTGCTCAGGCAGAAGGTGCCTCCCTTTCATGCGATCCTTGTGCTCAGGGTGAGTATCAGGATGAGTTTGGGCAGGCAGCATGCAAGAAGTGCGTTGTGGCAACCTATCAGGACATGCGACGGGGAAAAACACACCATCTGGATTGGCGGATTGGATTTTTTTTGCACTCAGCCTCAGGGGCATTTTCCTCCACCGGTGATTCAGTTTTTGTTGGATTGAATTTATCTCTGGCAATCTATATAGGTTAAAAGAACCTAATCAAGCATGCGAACACGTTCAACAACTATATATACAAAGGACATTTCAGACTTTATATACATATATATGTGTAGAGGCGTCTAGTGGGAGCAGTGGTTACCTACCAATATTGCAACCGCAAGCCTGCAAAGGCGCTAATCAGTGCCCACCAGCCGATCTTGTGCATACAATCATCCGAGTATAATGAGAGAAGATTGGAGTTCTTTTCCATTCGGGATAGTCCTAGTAGACATCTTTTTGAGAGGCCGAGCGGCGATTTTTTCGCACGATCCATAACATGCTATATGCTGGAGGCCCACTGGGGTCACACCGGTGTGATTGACATCATGGGCATGGAGCTCTTAAGAGCAAAGCACCCGACCCTCCAGAATCAGTTCAACATTTTCACAGGTTACATTTTGGACAGAGGGGATTTCTTGCTGTGCAGGATGAGACCGGCCAGTCGAGATGCAAAGAATGCCCTGCTGGCACCAAAACGCTGGGCTTTGGCTCTCTCTCGGTTCAGGCTTGTGGATGCAAAGAGAATACGATTGACACGCCACCAGCCAGCATGAATTGTTGCAATTCTAGCGTACCGTACCACCATTTGTATCGCAATGGGGATTCAGTGATTCCGTAACAAGGCCGAGCTTTCCGAGTTAGGCATGATAAGTCGTCATGCACCAGGGTCTATGGAACTCTATGGAACAGAACCTGTCCAAAATCATGCGTTCAACGTCACCCCGATGCACCCCGTCACCCCAGAGAGGCCTGGACATGTCGCCACACAGGCCCGCTCTGGGCTTCTATAGCGATTGTCAGGCTGTTCTGACGTGATCGTCAATGTGCATCCACTTGGCCGCGTCGATGTTCTTCCCAAAATCTTGACGTTTTTGCTGAGGTCTGGGAACAATGACATAGAGACCTTTGACTGCGTTCCCTGTGGTCAGGGACTCACGTGTCCATTTTCTGCGAGCATTTCTACACTACAGTCAGGGGAGTCTGCACTCGGAGATGAGTATGTGCCCAAGGTCTTGCCAGGCGTTTAGTGTTTTTTTCTTTTTTTACTGAAGGGCGGTGCAGTTGGTTACACCACTACATGGAGTGACCCTACCTGCTCACGTGCTGGTTTGTATGTGGACGCAACTGAACATTCTGCAGCCATTCACGGTTGTTGCAAGGGGTGTTGTCGCAAGTCTCACTTTCTGTTTGTCACCTTGTAGCAGAATCAATCCAAAGGACCCTAGTGCCTTGCAACATCAGACTGCCCACAGAGCTGATCTCAATCGCTTCCCTGGCTTGCGTTCGTTCTACGTCAGGCTACGTTGCAGAGCCCGACGATCCCCTGGCCCTCTATGAATGCCAAACGGCACATCAATGCCCGGGAGGCACACCCGGCACCTGCGCTGGTGGCCTTGAGGGTAAGGTGTGTGGTCGCTGCCCTGCAGGACCGGGGAAGGAAACTGTCGGCTGATCTGCGGAACTTCCAACAAACCTGCTGGAAGTGGATGGGCTGGCTGGCTCCTTTGAATCGACTTCACAGTTGGACTCCACTTCCATCACAATTGAACGGGAGCAGAGTCGCTAGTACCATTGCTAATAGGCGAACATAGGATGAAGACCATCGCTAGTAGGATAGAGGCCAGGGCCATGGCTATTAGGTTGGAGGCCATTGCTATTAGGATGGACGCCATCGCTAGTGCCGCTAGTAGAAGGGGAGCAGAATAGAAATTTCTAGAAATTCTGAAAGACAGCTGGGCGTATTCTCTGTCGATCGACATACTCTGAGATATTCTTACCACACAGGTGAAAATGAAGCTAAGCATAGTGGACTTTGGACGCACATCTCGTTTTCTAGATCTTTCTATGTGGCTTTATGGGGTGAACCTGTTTGTTTATGTCATGAGGTGTCAACACACCATGCTGTTTTTTTAGGTCTTTCATGGTTTGTTCCATGTCCTTCCCATGAGCACATTCGGTTTGAGAGGACAAGCCAAGACCGACGAAGGTTGCCTGGAATGTGATGCCGGGACCATCGTAGGCTTGGTCGTGGCAGCGGTGGCAACTCGACGATGCTCTTGTGTACATTTCCCGTATGACATAGCAGCCCAATGAGAGAAAGCTGTTCCGTCTCGGTCTCATTGCCGTCAGTGGTGGGGCAGGTGAAGAGTGGAAGGGACCTTGAGTATCTGGTGATGTTTCGTGCATTCTCCTTCTCTCTGCGTGTAGCGGCTGGTTTGAGCCACCCATAGCCCTTTCCCATCAAAGACTTGTCCTTCTGCTGCGTTGGCCCATGCTGCAAATAGAGCCTCAAGCTCCTATGGTCCAACCTCTGGGAAGATCAACAGGAAAAGCTTGTGGTCGATGTACTTGTCATCAAACTTGTTCCATAGCTTCATGGACCTCAAAGTAGTGAGATTCACCACTTCATCATCCATCAAAGCTGCCATGACTGCTGCTGTGGTGCAGTTCTATAACTGTGGTCCTCCCATGAATTGCCAAGCCTGCATTAGAGATTTTGTGCCGCATAATCCAATGTGGACTGTGCACGATGGTGAGTGCGGTTCATCGCATGGTCATGGTCGGCCATGTCTGATACAGGTTCCATGATCTCATCAACCATAGAGCCTGCTCACCCATAAACCTCCCGTTAAAGTCACCGGAGCTTCATCCGCTGGTGCCCCCCAAAGCCTCAAGCGTAGAGGTAATGAGATGTCCCCTGCTGCCTGAGCCAAAGATCTGAGCCTCATTGCCTGACATCCTGTTCCCCTGGATGAATCTGAAGCTTCAATATCATATGGTGCGCTTCCCCATCAGTGCGCTTCAGTGCCACATACCGCGTCTTCAGATGTGAGAGCATCCGGCAAAGTCCAGTGCAGCCCTGAACAGCCTTGAACAGCAATGCTGTTTGCTTGATCTTGGTCTTCTTGGCCGCCTTGCAAGCGCTTGGAAGCCGGGCGGCGGTAGGTGTTGGAAGTGGCCCTCGTGGTCCTTCTCCTCGGAAGTTCCATGCCGCCCACGTGGTTTGCTAGGTCTTCGTCTTCCTCAGATCTGGCAGATTGGTGATCTTCCAGGGCTTCCCGTATTGATTGCATTGCAATCCTGCTTTGCCTATGAGTCTATCCTGCCAGCTCTGTTTGCATCCCGTGCAGGCCACATACTGCCTTGTCATGTTCTTGTCCTGCAGGATGTGTTCACCTTGGTTTTTTCAACGTTATAGTATGTTATAGTGGGCCTTGCCTATGGCTGGCCTATAAGAGAGGCCACACTGGTTTTGATTTGGTGGGAGCCAGCCTTGAGTGGACAGAGGTTTGCAGGTGAAGACCATGGGTTTCCTGTAGATTGTAATGAAAGACTTCAAATTTATTAAACCTGAAAGCACCGATGGAGGCACTGTAAACTGCTGTGGAGCCTAAAATATTGTGGTGACTACATAGAAGGAAGTTTAGTCCTTGAAATGACCCATGATTAAATGCAGTAAACACTCTTGATGTCTCAATAGAATGCGATTCGGTATGGAGCTAGGAAACATGTCCTTGAGGATTGAAGGAGCAAGGGTCCTGCGCCCTTGAAGTGTGCCTCAGTTTTAGCTCCATGGTTGCGTTGCGCTTTCATTTGTGGTAGGCTAGCTTCAGCAGCATTCGTGAATGTTTTTAGGGGGGGATCATTTTTGATGGGCCATGTTCGCTGCCAGCAGATCAACTGAAGAGGTGTTTGTGTGGAATTTTACATTTTAACGCAATCGCCATGCTGGATGTGTTTGGTTCCTATTCCTGTGATTTCACCCTGTAGTGAATCACTAAATGGTGTGCTTTTATCGTTTATCATGATGAATCTTGGACGAATACCTTGCCACGATACCTTGCTCACTGCCCAGGTGATATGCTGCACTTTGCTGGTGTCTTATTATTTGGTGACTTGGTTCTCAAGGATTCAGTTTAAAACACAGTTGAGAACAGACTACAAAGGCCTGCAAATGCCGAGGAGAGGCCTAAGGGAAACACATTGTCTCAGCAATGCAAGCATACGTGACAGCAGACCTGTATCAACCTAAACAGTATGAATGTTAGTGGATGTGAAAACAACACCACGACCAAGCAGGTACACATCCATGGCCAGTGGATGCTTTCCTCTTTGATGCACAGCTTGGTTGGACCGAGTAAGCATCAGAGAGCTCTGTCCCTTGCGAAGTGTGATAGAATTCGAATATATCCATGACTCCAACGTGTTCACACACACAGACACAGAGACACATACATACATACATACATACATACACCATGGGGGGAGATTCGGTCACCATCCTGCCGGGAAAGGTGCAGATGGAAGCATGTGAGCAGGAGATGCATGTGATAAAGGTGCGTCAAGTTGGAGTGACGGGAAAGGCAAGTGAACAGGGACAACTGGCGAACCATACCTCAGGGGCATTTGAAAGCCTAGTTTGCTGGTAAATGTGCACTTACACATACTTACATTCTACAGTCCCAAAGAATGTGCGTGCAAGAAGACTAATGAAAAGACGACAAGACATGAAGACAGGCAGGACATGAAAAGAAAACAGGAACCGGGTGAAAGGGGACCAGCCAGAAAAGAACCCAAACCTCATTATCGACGCGCTGGGGACCTTGCCCTGTAAGAAAACTAAGGAAGAGGAGGAGAGACGAAAAGAGGACTGAAAGAAAGGAAGCATGGTGCTTTCGGCTACGACACAAGCACACCCCCCTTAGTAAACGTTGTAATAAACAAAAGAGACAATGAAAACAGACAAAAAGAAAGCAAAGCAAGCAAGCAAGAAAGACAAAACACAAAAGGACAGGACAGAAAAGTCACGTGCTCCCAGCTACGGCCCAAGCGTTGGGAGGCGCCGCAAACAAAAGAGAAAGAGGAGGGTGTGAGGGGCTCGGCTATGGAGGAAGATCTAGAAAGCTGAGGCCGCAACAGGATCCACGTGGATCCCGATTGTAGTTTGGGTGCGGCGGGCTCCACAAGGCACTCTTCGGGCTCTCACACGCGAGGAAAGGAAATGCATTGCTTGACCAAACATGCGTGACTCCAGGCCTGTATCAACCGAAACAGATGTAAACAGCATGCACACATCCATGGCCAATGAATGCTTTTCTCTTTGATGCGCAGCTGGTTGGACCGAGTAAGCATCAGAGAGCTCTGTCCCTTGCAAAGTGTGATAGAATCCGAAGATACCCATGACTTTTTGGACCCAAATTTGAGGGAAGATCAATGTGTTGGTGAATGAAGTTGGAACAGCCATCCATGCCTCACGGCTTTCAGCAAGATCCATCAAGATCCCTTCAATGCTGACGCTGGATCTCTCAAGGTCTGTGAAATGGAGGGTTGTTGGGCAGAAATCTAAACCGGGCAAATCTGCTCTTGCATGAACCTCAAATGAAAGCGACTGTGCAGATGTGATCAGGGAACAACTGTATAATGTATACGTTATTGAAAACCAAAAAGTGGGGAGGGAAGGGGAGGAACAGGGTGTTGTTTCCCAATACGATGGCCAGTTTAAATCTGGTCATGTTACGACAGCCATTTTATAAGCCAAAATCCTGGGAGGGGAATGCGCAGGTTTTGGAGTATCAAATGGACATCTGAAGTGGACATCGAGAATTACAAACGCCAAATGGCTATTTGGCAACAAAAATCTGGCATGTCCGTAAACAAGAGGTGTGCATTTGAACGTGAAACAAAAGCAGTTCTTGGCCGCGAAAAACATCGAAAACACGTGAAACGCATGAATTTACAAAGTTGAAACCGTGAATAATAAACCAAATGGCTGTGAAAACAGGCAATGGCATCGAACCTTGACATAATAGACATAATAGGGTCGAGAGCAGTTTGGTCGCGTTTTAAGGAATCGAATGGTTATCCTGCACAGAACTGCTGCGCCTAACACGAATCGCAATCTGTGGCGCATGCCACGAAACCTGCAACTTCGAGGTTTTAAACGGCTGCGCCTACCAAAATCTGTGCTACTGCGCCTGCCACGATACCTGCACTTTGGGGCCACAGCGCTGCGTTTGCCACTCAAGATTGACATTGCGCAGCCCTGCCACTCCGTATATTTCGCAACACAGCAAATCGAAACTAGCCGCTACTAGCCACATGTCCGTCCAAAGTTCACGTTTCACGGCATCAGAGCTCAAGAAACCACCACCAAGCCCATGTCAGTGCTGCGCGTGCCACGAAATCTTGGCATCGAAATGTAGAATGGCCCCGATCTCCTGCAACTGCCACGACAAGTGACCACCAAGCCCGAAAACGGGCACGGCGCCACAACGAGAACGTAGTCGAGGAAAGCACCTGCTCCTGCTCGGCACCGCCAGTTTGCGCGAGCCTGCAGAGTCGAAGAAGATCCCAAGAGTGAATGTAGCATACAAATTATAGTCGCACACGGATGCGATCACCCCCCGATCAAGCTCAGCCTTAGCAACTACTGCTGTAAGATAAATTTGTAGAGGGACCACAACACTGTCGGGGGGAACAACACTACACGTTGAAAGCGCCACTTTCTCAACAAACTGGACCGCATGACCGCCACGAACTTGTGCAGGTGAATTTTGATGCGAAAGTGAAAGCTTCCGCTGTGGACACCGGAGCCATGAGCTTGGTTTTGATTGCGCACGTGGTCCAGACCATTGCCATCATGGGGATGATGTCACCAAGGTGGTCTTTCGTTTGGGGACTGGGCTGGATATTCATATATGGCAGACTTGCACCGTTTTTTTGGTTCGAGATGGATCTATATTCCGGTTTGGGATCGTGACAATTTGATTGTTTTGTACACCAGTAGACAGTAGACACTGTGACACCGCTAGGCAAATTGTTTTTCTTGCAAAGCACTTGCGTCACCGCCAATGGTCAAAATTCCTCCAAACGTGTACAACTGATATCAACTGATATAACATAACCGCCCCACATTGGCCGCGCGATACGTTTCCTCAAATTTGACCGCGGCTCGTCCACATACATGTTGTAAGACCGGTAAGAAGAAAACGACATATGTATGGAATGACCAGAGTCACCATGGGCCATGCGACGTGTCAACGGACATGGCAAAGGCACGGGAGATAGTGCGTGCGTGTTTTTATTGTTTTTGATTATTTGATCATATTTTGATACTGCGTTACTGTACTTGTTTGCGTTGGAAGAACTGACAATCAAGAGTACATCTTTGTTCATGATAATTGTCCTTTTTATCATAAGAACTGTCCGTTGTTTTCCTCTGTGAAAGTAAGAGTTTGGGTATTACAGTGTGCTGTTGTCTGAGGATATCAATGTTTCAAAAGTAATCGATAGGTTGCCTGGATTCACTGAGTTGTATTGTCTGGGCCATACCAGGTATTTCACAAGTAGGCAACTAATGAGGGGCAAGCCACCTATTGGAATGAGGGGCAAGCCACCTCTAGTTAATCAGTATGGAAATAATTAATATAACCACAGGGAATCAATGAAGTTATATGTTGATAAAAAGGACAATTCTCATGAACAAGAATTAGGAGCAATTGCGTATGTCCCAATTCTTTAGGCTGGTGTGCACGTTCATGAAGAACCAATTTTGGTGTGGGTTTCATCATGTTTCATCCCAAGGCACCAACAAAACATAACGAGTCATAACAACACGTTTGTTTGCATATTTGCAGATAATATTGTTTACATCATTATGATTCGATAATATTGACAACACTTGATATACTCTCCTCAGTGGGACACTCACTGATCCTTCCTCTTCGCGTCCGTGTTTCCATGGGCCACCATGGCACCCCGGTTTGACCCGGACGAAGCTACCGGGAAACCGGGACACCGAAGGTGGTCGCCGGGCGTCAAAAGCGCCACCTCGACGATGCAAGTGTTCGTGCTGGATGTAGATCGCTTCAACGTCAACTGCATCGCAGGCGTGTGGGCATGTGAACAGTTGGAAGGTTGTACCAGAATGCGGACCCGGTTTCGAGAGTTCAGCATGAAGTACTAGCCTGGCTAAACCCCGAGCGCAGGAACTACATGGAATTACCGGCACGTGTTGCCAGTGTGACAATGTTGGGTGAATTAGATTAGCACCAAAGGAGAAGAGGATTGGAGGGATCTCGCGGGTTTTGCTATATCCCAAAAACATATCATTCCGGTGGGCCTGTTGCGTGAGTTCTTCGCCGCGAAAAACAGTAAAAACTCAAGTGGGTTTTTGGTTTTGCCAGTGGATGGGAAAGAGCTCCGCACTTCGATAAAGATACACTGCCGAGGCCACACTTAGATGAATATACTGGCATGCCATGGACATGTCAAATGAGTGTGGGTCCGGTGTCCAAAGTCACGACACATTTCACTTAGCTGATTGAATCACTGAACATGATCTTGTGTGTATAACTGCATACAATGTTTTTTTGGTTTGCTGATGTTTGTGTGCACGTGTGTTGGAGGCTCCGAACCTCTCTCAAGCTACACGTTGGAAGTCTTGATGTTCCCGTCCTTCGCGATCTTCTTGCTGGTGGCCTGGGGTCTCTCGAAAGTCCTGGGCACGAGGCAGGGAGAAGACTACTGCAGATGGGCAGATGGTGACTCTTCACTTAGGGAGACCTCCCAAAGACCCCGCGGGAAGAATGAACATGGACTAAAACCATCCAAAACCCATTGGGCCACGGGTGTTTTCCTATTCATTACACCCAGATTGAAGTCGTGGTGAGGAGTTAGCCTGGACATGCCGCGGAAATGGCTTTGCCAACAGGGACGCCTGTGGTCAGGCGCTGGGAGTTCTCCAAGACCTTCAACACGATCGGCGTTTTTCTGCAAACGGGCTTCGGCACCATGGGCTCCGTGGCAGGGTGTTCCAACGCGCCAAACAGCGCAAAACGCGGGCGCGCAGGTGTTGAGTGAACCAAGGGAGGTATACCTCCCTTCAGACCCTTGGTGAACTAATCCCATGGCGGTTGATTGGGAGTTTGTCAAGCAAAGTCTTTGAGATTTGAGCCAAGAGTTCTGAAGGGCTGAAGGGGAGTCTTTACTGAAACTGCCAATCTTATTCAAACCTGCGAGAACATAAAAAGCATTGAAAAGCAAAGTTGCCACGCATAGACGGTTCAGAGATAGTTTTTTCCTAGCAACGGAGGGGGTTAATGGTTAAATATGAGTACACAGCGGTCATTCTACGACAACTGTCGTTCCTGCTCTGGTGAAATTGCTGAATGTATTTGGATCTATATATGTGCGAACCGGTTGGGTTCGCTGCGTTGCACTCTCGTGCTTTGACCATGCAATGACGATCGGAGTGCATCGGTTTCTGGACTTATGGTTTTTATTCTGTGGTCAAGGGCAGTTTGTTCAAAGATTCCAACTTGGTGGCTCATTAAAAAGTGTTCAAACTCACTGAAAAAGTGTTCAAACTCACTGTATTGGCACCTAAGGTGCTGTAGCAATGAAGCCCCTCACATGCTACTTGCACCCGAATGGGCTCCGCAGTCTGTTGAAGTACCCCAGCGTGATCTGTGGCGAGGGCGATCACTCTGCCATGCTTGTGCTTGGAGTTGTTCCTTGGAGTTGAGTCACGCCCAAGCGCAGCTGCATGAGATAGGCAAATGTGGCAGGCATCGTATGGCAGAGGTAGCAGAGTGTTTGATATTGATTGATTGTCGTTCTTTTACCTAGAGGTAGCAGATACAGCTCCATGGCCAGCATGTGGCCAATCCCCATTAATAATTCCTCAAAGTGGCTTCTGAACAGAACGGCTCGTCGCTGCATGTGGGTCTCCCCACCATGGGTCCTAGAGTTTGAAAAAAGGGACTAGACGGCCAAGAGTCCTATATTAAAACCATGACCGTCAGACCCCAAAAGGGTTAACAAATTGGGCATCCCATGGTCCAGGTTCTGATGGCCCCTGAGTTTGGGTCTCCCACCATGGTCCTAGGTGCCCAAAGGATAACCATGGGGCCATCAGAACTTCGTCGCAAAAGCAGAACTTCGTCGCTAGCTTTCTCATGTGTGAAAGTCCGGCTGAGGTCAGCTCTAGGTCTATACTATATACATATCATATATCTATACCGGCGAAATAATTACTTGATTCCGCACCAATTCTGGAGCTCTGGGCACGGAACCGTTTCTTCAGTTGCATGAAGATATTGAGACTGTCTTGTCATGTTGTAGCAAGCCGGAAATACGTTTCAGACACTTGCTGATTTCTTAGCCTCCAGCCATCGCTGGGTCAAGAGAGGTCAAGAGCAAGTTGGCAACTATTTGTCTCTAGTTCCCTCATAGCTGGATGTCAAATAAGAGCTCCAAGTGCAACGCATCTTTTAACATCAACAAAAAGGCCAGCGGAGCCCCCCCACAATGCTCTTTCAAGCCTGGCAATCATACATTATGTTTCTCGTTCGACGGCTAAGGTTTTGCTGTCCATATTTGTGATCGGCTTCTATGCCCTTTGCATGCTGGCGGCATGGAAACTCCCCTACTGGAGCACTCAATCACATCACCGAGTGCGAGCCTTCAAGTTTCTCACAGGCGACTGATGGTTTGGGATTCAAGTCTGAGATGAGTCCCTTGGTGGTTTTGTTTCATTTGAGATGCAAATCAGTTTTAATTTGGCCACTGTGATGTTGAGTCCCTTTTAACCAGAATTGCTCAATAAGCCCTTCTACTTCTGATTGGTCGAACGACCAGCATTGGCATAAGGGACCGTCGCCATTCTTTCCTTTGAAGATCGAATGATGTTTGATGTTTTCAGTTTGATTCCCTACCCATCCAGCACCGGGCCCGGGAAGACCGTCGACCCACGCGAGCAGGGAAGTTCTGCCCGAATTCCTGGTGGTTCGGCCTGCTCCTGTTGGCGCGTTCTTGTGGCTTCAGCATGGCCCTGGTCATAGCGACTGACAGTGCAAGTGAACAGAGGCTTGGATTCAACCAGATTCCCTGTATTTCTCCAATAACAAAGTCTGGGAATAGGCTTCTCAACCATGTCATGCTTGCTTGCTTGTTTCCCTAAGGACCGCCATTGCCACCATCATCCTTCTGATCTATTTTGGCCGTTCGACTGCGGATAGGTAGCGTTTCATGTTTTGAGAGTCGCAAGGGAACGGTGTTAAGATGGGGACATGCTTGCAGGTTCTGCATCCATTTGGAAGATCCGGGCGCATGTGTGGGTGTAATTTGTTTTGTTCAGTTGATGCATCAGATATTGGAAGATTGGGTGGTGCTAGGGAGTCTATGTTTTGCTAGATGAGATGTGAAGCATAGAGATGGTATATACTCAGAATAATCAAAGCTATTTGATGTTGACAGCATTAGAGTATGATCAGTGCGCCGTCCTTTTGTTGTGGCTAGCACATGCTCACGATCAATGCGTTTGTTGCTTCAAGCCTTGACCGTAACATGTATGTATGCATGATGTATGTATGTAACTGAGTAAGTAAGTAAGTAAGCAAGTAAGTAAGCTAATGTAGTGTAATGTGATGTGATGTAATTTAATGTAATGTGATGTGATGTAATTTAATGTAATGTGATGTAATGTAATGTAATGGAATGTATGTGATGTAATGTAATGCAATGCAATGCAATGCAATGTATGCATGTATGGCAGGTATGGTATGGTATGGTTTGGTATTGTATGTATGTATGTATTGGAATGGAATGGAATGGACTGGACTGGACTGGACTGGAATGGAATGGAATGGAATGGATGTATGGCGAAGAGTGTTTTACAAGGGTCAATGAACATGTTTGCTGTATTGTTTCCTGTCAGGGTCAGGCTTCCTTTCAAACGTGTAGAAGCACATCGAATCATCTAGCTGGAGTTGCTTTTGCTAGCCGGAATTGCCTACCACATGAACTTATCACAGCTATGGGAGGTCACCCGATTGGTATCCAGTGTGTCCACTTCATGTAGCTCTCTACTTCATGCAACGAAGCCTTCAACCGCTTCATCCTAGCTCATCCTTGCTCGACATGTTCCTATTTCTCGGTTTCGTCCTCGTCATATGGTTCATTTTTGTGCATGATCCCACTCATAGTCATCCGATTCTTTTGTTGCTCCCGAAGCTTGTTTGCTGAACTTCATGGTTTGCTGCTGCTGTTTTTGTCTTGCTGCTGGTTTGCTGCTGCTGCCGCTGCGACTGCTGTTGCTGCAGCCGCGGCCGCAGCTGCTGGTTCGACTCTGCTTGGTCCCAATGCAGGGAAGGTTAAGGCTTTCACCACATTGACAATCAATTTCCACCACGATCGGTGTCAACTACACTTGTTGTGCTTCTGGCACGGACCTTCTTCACCATGCTTTCAGCACCTTCCCGTCTTACACCTATGTACTTAGACCATCGATCATCAAGTCCTTGACAGTGTGATACACCACGATCAGAGTTTGTACAAGTTCCACCAAACTTGTTGCTTTGCCAGCAAGAAGTTTTCTTCGTACTGTAATGTGTTGTAATGTGTTCAGCAGTCTTCCACATTATACGTTTGGAATTGGCTGTCTTCACTCCAAACATGTCAAGGTTCAGTGAACTTGCTGCACTGCTTGCAGCCACTGTCTTTGAGTCTGCCCCCCTACCGCTAACTACAACCACAATCTTAAGCACGAGAAAGTGCACGACAACTTTTGGTGCCAAAAGGAACTGGGAAGATGGCTGCCCTTTTCATGAAACGCCTTGGCAAACGCCCAATGGTCTTTTTCACCTCCACCTTCGGTCTGGTCTGTAACTGCAGACCTCGCTTTAGTTTTGGGGGGGCCTTGGCTGGAAGGTTGCCTTTGGAATGCTATTGGCGGGCCTGCCTAGCCGGTGGGTTGGTGGGGCGCCTTTGAATTCTATTGGGCGGTCTTGCCTTTCTTAAAGTCCTATTCGCACGAGGCTTGGGAGAGCACAGCGCCGGGACGGGAGGGGGGAAGGGGAGGGAAGGGTGGTTCCTTTGCAAGCTTAATCCCAGGTGGGCCCTTGCCCAGAACAGGAAAAGGACAGGGAAGGGATGCGAAGGGCAAGGGAAACCAAAAGGAAAGAAACAAACAAAGAAACGGAAACATATTATACTGGAGGTTGTGCGTTTTCTTGTGCTCATTCTGAACCGAGGTTGTGCGTTTTCTTGTGCTCATTCTGGCTCGCGGTTGTGCG